TGTTTGGGAGTTTCTTGTGTCATTAGGGTTGAACCCTGAGATGCTGATCCCAGCACCTCTGAATTTCCTTTTCAGGAAATTTCAGAACCACAGGAGAATTAGAAAAAATTTATGGGCATCTTGAAAACCTTCAAAGCTTGTCTCTTGCCTTGTATTTATTAGTTATTTTTAATGGTGTCAGAGTATATTTCTTTTTGGTTTTATATCACACTTCCATTTGTCCCCTGGCCCACTTGTGCATTTTAATATCTGCAATGTCCTATTACCCAAGTCCAAAACTCAAATGATGCTTGGCACAGAACTTGTGGAAAATATCTTGATTACCCTATGTGATGGTTGAGAAATGTGTGCAATATAACTCACAAAGTGGAGAAAAGGCTTTGCATTTCTCTTCCTCCTCACATTGTGCAGCACTCTGTGCCTTTGCCTGAGCTTTACTCCCTGCTTCTTCTGGTACTCTTCCTCACGGATGGGGTGTGATTTGAGGATGTCCCCATGAAACCAGGAATGAGGATTTCTTAATGCAATCTCAATCTCATCCCTGCTACATTCTCCCTGCTCTCCCTCCAGGTGTGCTCTGGGCCCTTTACCTGTTCAGGAGCAGCTTCCATCACACAGCCCAATCACTCCCAGAAGATGCTGTCAGATTTATGTGCAAAGTAACTGGAGGTCGCAGTTCAGCTACATCCACTGGTACAAAATGTCACCTGGGACCTCATCCCCTGATCTGTATCTGCGTTTCTGGGTCTGATATTAACTGGATTCATAGGTTTCCTCCAAAAGAAATATCTTGTCTACCCAAACAAAGAAATTTGCATGCTGCTGGTGCATGAGCTGGACAACCAAGTCAGCAGGAGTCATCACTGCTGTGGGCTGCACCCACAACCATCCCCTTAACCTGTGCTATTTACTGCAGCTGTAATGTGTTTGCAGAGGAAACATTGCACAACACCATGAACTTTTTGCTTGGAGAATTGCCAGCTTCTTTCTCTGGACATGGGAGAACCACAGGCAAAAAGGTCAGGAAGTGCTTGATAGGGAACTAGGGACATCCAAAACAGGGGGAAGAAGGGAAAAGGGCCATCCTCAGTGACTAAGGGGAAGAAGAGAATTTTGGATGAAATTGCTGAGTTTATATGTCCTGTGGCACTTTCCAAGTTTTACCCCAGGATAAGGAATTTTACAGATGCAAAATCCAGAGAGATGAAAAAGAAAATTATGTGCAGATGTGAATTGGGAAGGGCAAAGTAATTACTGGGGAATCCTTATGAGAGAAACTCACTTCTCTTTGAGAGTCTTTCGCAAACTGTCTTCAGTTGAAGACCTGAGCAGGGGATTGAAGGGACTGCATAGTGCCTGTGATTTCCAAGGGGCTATTCCAGGAGCCATGTAGCACTGTCTGCTGCAGCCCACTCTTGCTACTCCAGAGAAATTCAATATAAGTGCAATCTTGGAGAGAGTTAATGAGAGGTATCTTATGAGGTATCCTACTTTGCACTATGCTATCCTTTCTTCCTAGGTTGTTGACTCTTCCCTCTCAGGCTGTTGAGTGATGTAAGCCAAACAGCTGATAAGCAGCTGGGAGATGCTGCTAAGCTATGGTTTATTTATCAGATAAAAGTCAAGCACAAACCAAAGCTATTTACAGAAATGTGGGACTTAAATATACGCTCTCAACAGTCGTTATGAATTTGCATCAAAAGTTTCTAGAACTAAAAGGGAAATTTTAGGGCACAGGTCAGATCCTGCAGTCCATCTTGTTCTTCATGTAGGCTTATTCCTTATATTGTTTCTATGATAATCTAGTTTTAGCAGTTTTCAAGGACTGCCATCATCTCCAAGGGGAAGTGATGGGCTGCAGCCTTTTTTATCTCAAGATCAGGACATTGTCTTCATTGACAGCCTTAATTTGCTGTACCAACAAGGGCTAGTGACATAGAGTTCACTTACTCTTCCACAGAAGAAAAGATTTACCTTTTTTTCCTGCAACAGCTAAAGAATGCAAAGCACTTTGTGAGATTAACAAAAAAAAGAGGTCCTTATCTGAATATTATTTACAACTAACACTGGTGAGAAGCAGAGAAGTCAATGCCTCTGGAGTTGCTAAGGGCTGTGTAGATTTAGGCTTTCTGAACAAAGAACTCAGTACTTTATTGCATATTAGTTTATAAAGCAAATATTTAAAGAAAAAAATCATTCTTTGCATCAGAGGGTGGATATCTTTCAGATGCTGAATTGCAGAGAACTCCATTCCCAGGTGTACCCTGTGTTCATCTACATAAACCAGAAAGAGCCAAAGGGTAGACCAGGATCTTTGCTAGAGCAGTCCATCTTCTTTTTCCAGCCTATGCTGCCTCTTACACCTCACATGGAGCGAGTGGTCAAGGTAAGAAAATTCTAGCGTGTATGTCTCCAGCACCAGTGATGCACAACCCCTGGACTAATGCAGCACTGCTGTTGATCCTACAGCTTTTTGTAGTCTTACAAAATAAACTTACATAAGTGGTTTGGGGCTTTTTTTTCATCCCACTCAGAAAGCAATAGTTGCAACAGGCCTCCACTTCTGTCTATTTTGCTATTCATACAGGAAACCAGCAAACTGTTCTTTAAAGATCTAATAGCAATGTAAGCCAAGTGCTACATCATGAAACAATAAACAGTTGTTTTGATGCACTTGCATCGAACATGAAATAGTTGCACTTCTAACAGGTACATTTCACAAACTTTGAACTGGTAATTGGATTTTCACTGCTGAGGGGACGTAGAGTCCCTTCTCAAGACTATTTTCTGACTTGCCATCAGTGAGAGTGCTCGGCACTTTGCAAGGTGAAGCCAAAGCCAAGCAGAAATAAGAGGAAGAGCCCCTTACCTTGGTAGCATCTGTAGTAAGCCACAACGCTCTCCCATTTGGTTCAACTCCAGATGGAGTGGAAATGACCAGCTCTCCCTGCACCTTGGCTGTTTCATGGTCTGAGAAAAGGGCTGGGTTGACTCTGCTGAAGTCAGTCATGTCTTGAAGTATTGACCTGAATGGTAGCAGATACAGATAATTGAAAGGAAGAAGAGAAAGAAAGAAAGAGAGAAGGAAAGAGAGAGAGAAAAAGAGAAAGAGAGAAAAAAAGAGAGGAGAGAAAGAGAGAGAAAGAGAGAAGGAGAGAAAGAGAAAGAGAAAAAGGGAGAAAGGAAGGAAGAAAGGAAGGAAGGGAGGAAGATACAGTCAAAGAACTAGGGAATGTGAGAACCTGCATTCAGGTGTCTCCAATGCAGCAGAGAGCAATGGGGTGGGGTGACTGAGGTCACCACCTGAGATGGTGGTGGTGTTCCAGATAGGCCTAAAATTTGATGAATGCACTCATGCATTTCTGTACAGTTCCTTCCTTGCAATGCACACCATCTCATCTTGACTGCCTTGGTGAAAGGCAGCTGATGTGATTTTTATGTCGTCTCAACAAGTTGTAAGTTTTGAGCAGAGAAGAATCCAGCCCTGGAGGTAAATATTTTGTCAAGATAGAAGCATCTACAAAGATGCTGTTGGAAGGCAATCCTTGCTACCTAAATTCTTACTAGTCACTGTAATTGATTACAGCACATTTGAATGCTTTTACATTCTCTTGATAGTTCCTGTGATACACCTATCAGATGTATCAATGCAGAAAGTATTATGAAATCGTTGACTTAAAGTTTCCAAGCTAAAATCAGACCAACTACCAACACTGAATTCAGTTCCACCTGTTCTAGAGCCTTGATGTCTCAAAAAAGGCTCAAATGTGCTCATCAAAACAATTTGCTGGTTCTCAACAATGAGCTGGATTAAGCTATTCAAAGTCAGACTTGCTTGTTGACAGATTTGTACCTAATAGGTCATTTATCCTAACTTCATACATGAGCTGTATGAAGGTCCATACATTATGGATGATAATTATGATTTTATATAATATATGACAGAAGCCCCTACTAGAATTTTGGGTTTGTAGGAAGAAAGAGTAAATTTTTTTATGGTTTGGTTTGGTTTGTTTTTGTTTTAAATGGTTGGTTTGTTGCTTTCCTTAGCAGAAAGTCTTTCGCTCATAAGAAGCTGATTAGGAGTAATGCAAGACTGAAAACAAATATCTGTGTGTAGATTGTCTTGCTGGTTTGAGAATGTAAGAACAGGAAATTGAGCTCATTACTTCTGAGGGCATGCAGATGTCATATAAATTTATACTGCAATACATCACAATTATACTGCTAAACATACATTCCTGCCTGCTAAAATTTGTAAGGGTACCAAGACCATGGGAAAAGCCTGAGTATGAAGACCCTGGTAAGCAGAGAGAAATCCCACCTTTTCAGTACTATGAGAACCAGCAGCATTAGGGTCAGGTAATGGAAGATGTTTGGGGGTCAGGCATACTTTTGATGTATATTTATGTTCTTTTAATTTCTGGAGTCATCAGTAAAAGTTTGAAAACCCTGGAGCTTTCTTTGCTGTAATGAGTAACTCCAAATGCTGATGGTAGGAACAGGGATTTCATGTAGAAGCAGTATTACAGGATCACATTTGATGTTCTAGGTTCAAAATGAATGGGACAAATTGTTAGAAGAAGATTTTCAGAGGTATTGTCATGGGATTAAAAATTATCGTACACTTAGAGTCTCCATCACCTCAGTCTGTAAGAGAGTTAAGAAATGAAGCTGATCTCTGTCTAGTACCTTATGTGGGGAATACATCTCAGAGAACAGGGATCGCACTAAACAAGCAAAGAAATAAAATCATCCAAGAAAATTTCCTGCAGAAAAAAAGAAGATAAAAAAAGTTTTTCTCAGTAGTGAGTTCTCTTCTTACAAGGGTGGGGTTTGGATTTTTTTTCTTCTTCGGTTTAAGCGTATACCAAAGGAAATGGCGTGTGCGTCATTATTTAACCACTTGCAGCTGGCACAGCCTCATTGGATGGTTTTCTGCCACTCAGATCTGCTTCACCCCCTCCAGAGGCTGGCCCTGACCCTATCCCTGCAAGGAAGCCTTAAGGAGACCAGTGACAATGTGGCTGCTAAGCGCTTTCTTCTTGGCAGCTGTTTTTTCCTGTATGTGCCCTGCTCATCCTGCTGCCTGCACATCCACCAGTGCAAAGGGTATGCTCTCTTATCTCAGGTTCATGCCTCTAATTTTTCTCTTTTTTTGCCACAGGTGTCTCTGCACAAGACTTGCAGCAAACCCCCATATCCATCACAAAGTCAGAAGGTAAAACAGTGATAATCAACTGCCACGTCTCCAGTCCTGATTTTAGCAACGTTTTCATTCACTGGTACCGAAAGAGGGCCAGTGCAGCTCCAGAGCGTGTTGCCTACATGTCCTCCAGGATTTTCCTCGAAAACCAGTCAGATGAGGGGAAGTTTAGTGTTGAGAAGGATCTCAGCAAATCTGTCTGCACCCTGACAGTGAGCAAAATAACTCTGCAAGACTCCGCCACCTACTACTGCGCTAGGTGGGATGCACAGCAGCAGAAAGCCATAGGGGACCTGCACAAAGACTGCTCTGCTTTTGAAACCAGATCCTGCAGTGTTTGACAGCATACAGGAACATCACCACCCTGCTTTTCCCACCAGCCTTGAATCAGGCAGCCAGATACCAAAGATGCTGCTGAGCTTTGCACACTACACCCAGTACCAGCAGAGCTGTTATTTCACTTTGTCAACAGAAAGAGGATTTTTATAGGTCTGGATGGATTGCCTCTGAGTGGGTTTACAGGACGGCAGGCTGGGCTACCTAAGGGCAGGAGAATGCTTTCTATTCCCATTACTCTCCAAGTTACATCTTTGGAATAAATCCCCAGTTACATCATTTGTGTGGCATAACGGAAGGATACAAGTGAAAATAAACTTGAAGCACCACTTAAGACCACAGATGTAATATACCTGTTTTGTACTTCCCTGTCAGTAGAGAATCTGGTTTTATTTTCTCTTAGTTTTCTGTTTGGAGTTGATCAAAGCTTCTATTAGGTTAAGACACAAGTCTCCTTATTGACTCATCCTACAGAGCAGTAAGACTGCAGCTATAGAATGGATATTTTTATTTTTGCCAACAGAGAGTCATTCATATAAGTTATTTCAGCTCTTTCTGTTTATGGAAAAACAACAGATAGATAAAGTCACGGGGCCATTATGTTCTGATCCCAAAGGACCCAGTATTGCCAGTCTCCACTATGGGGTTTCCAGAGCACACTGAGCACTGGGGTGGTGGTTGCATTTCACAGAAGATTGAAAGATCAAGTTCCTGTCGCAACTTCCTGTAGGACATCAGTTACTAAATCTGTGTGAAAATTCTTGAAAAAAAGAAAAATCTAGCTGGCATAAGTAAAATAACATTACAACAACAGAGAAAGGGGAAGTTTTCTTTCCAAGGGAACAAACAGTGACCTTGCCTCTGAAGAATGACTTTGAATTGCAGAAAATGGTTTCTATATTTTGCTTGCCCTAGTTGTCTTTCTTTTAAACTAAGCCTGTGGGGGCTGCAAAGCATTCGTGTTTCTTTGCATAATACCCAGCATTTGGAGAAGCCACCCTGAAGTGTTGCATCTTACCTTACCTGTGACAAGAAGCAGCCACAAACACAACGATACTGCTTTTGAGCTCCCAAATGTCTGCTGTGTATTTTCCTGATCTTCAGCATTCAATCTGTGTTATAAGCAGTATTTTCAGACCCCTCCAATTCATTAAGCTCCATGATTTGTGGGGATTTTTTTACATTTTATTCTTACGGGACCTGAGAAAAAGTCCATTTCCTTGGTCTAATAGACCAAAGAATAGTCCAGGCATTTCAACTACTCTAAAGGCAGTGCTAAAATTTGCTTCAGACCACAAAATTACTCTGTAAATAGTTAAGGTAATTAGGGCGGTGGGGAGCAGGGAAGGGAAAGGGAGAGATAGAGAGAGAAGGTTTGTGCCACTTGTGTAAAAGCTGTAATCTGACTGTTAACATTTAGAGGGGCTCAATCAAGCTGCTTAGTCTCAAAAACCCACCTGTAGCCAGGGCAGCCGCTCCAGATTATGCCCATGTGAGTCATTTCCTTTCCTCAGCTCCTGCCAGTAGTGCTGTTACCTTCCTCCTGGAGGCAGACATCAGCAAGACCTCTCGGAATGCTGCTGCTTCCTCCCCTGGCCCTGGCTGCAGCCTGGTCTTGCAGGTTCCCTTTGTCACCATGGTATGGGGCAGCTGCAGGAAGCATTCCATATTTCTGAATGTGAATGCATAGCAAGCTAAGAGTATTTGTTCTGTTTTCTCTCCTTGTTTCTAGATGAACAAGTGCTTCTGAAGCAGAGTCAAGTATCTGTTACCGGAGGGCACACTGCCACTGCATTGATTGACTGTATAGCCGAGGGCATATCTGGCTTCCAGTACGTGTATATCCATTGGTACCGACATGTGCCCTCCAGAGCTCCTGAACAGATTCTGTATATCGGAACATGTTCAGCTTCTTATGGTGACGATTCCTATAAGAACAAGTATTCTTCTTTGAAGAAAGGTATAAATGTCTGCACTTTCACAATCAATGACATCAACTCCAACTATGAAGGTACCTACTACTCTTCCTACTTGCAGTCCCACAGAACTAGCAGATGACAAGCAGCCTGTACAGAAAGCTACCTATACCTTGAGGGGCAGGCTTTCTGTCAAATGCAAAGAATGATAATTGCAAGTTCCTGCCTCTAAAACATCCCAACAAGTTTATGCTGAGTATGTTTATATGAATATCAGACAAGGAAAAATGCAAAGATGTGCAGTATGCTACAACCCAGCTGGTATTGCTCTCTGCTAGGGAAAAGGAGCACTCCTGTGGGTGATGACCTTGCAGCTAAATTATATGGTAACACAGATTGTCTTTGAATAATACAGATACTTTCCCAAATAAAGTCTGAGAAAGCAAAAATGAAGCAATAGCGAGGAGGTAGCATAGGAGGAAGATATTCACACTGAAGATCTAGCCTGGGAGGCTTCAGATCCAGGTGATGGTGGAGATATGGGTGATACTTATCAGTAGTCACTCCCATCTTAATGCTTATGATATAATGACTCCTTCTTATAGGCAAGGATCTGGGCAACACCTGAAAAGACTGTTTCAAGAAAGGATAGTGAAGACCTTTTACAACGGAAAATGGCAAACTGAAGCAGGGATATGGAAATGGTAACACAGCACTGCTCAGCCAGACAGCTGTGAGGAGAGCCAAAGTGAAATTTCACCTATGTGGCAATGGTATTCACAACCCCATGTCCATGTGAGTGGTTTTTTTGTTCTTTCATTAGAGATATGTCTGCACTACAGGACTTGACACAAATTCATGTATTTATCACAAGGACAACAGAACAATATGAACTTTCTGTACTAGTTGTGAGATGAGATTTATTTGTGAACACTGCTATTGACAAAGGCCTAAAAATTATCCAGAAGATTCTCTCTTTTGGGTCATAAAATATGACATTTTTCTCAGGGAAGAGTATGATGTGTGGTGGCTGCTATCCAAGGGACCATCCGCTGTAAAGTCTTTGCAGGGCATTTTTTCAGCGCTCTGAAATGAGGGAAAGCACAAGAAAAAGCAGGGGGCAGCAAATAGCTGGCTGGCGGAAATGCATGCTTCATCCTGGCTTTGCCACAGCCACTAGGGCTCTCTTGCAATAGAGCCACCAGCTGTATTTTTCCTATTTGGTGCTACAGCCCTGTTATCAAGGAAGGCAGGCACTTGAACCCAGTACATACCCAACCATCTCACTGTTGTCAGGTCACTACTACCAGAGGAACTCCTTATTTCATGCAATAACCTGAGAGAGTTAAAGGAACACAGGGATCTTCAAAAGAAATGGATCATGGCTAGTCAGTGCAGTTGGATGTTTATATGTCATTTTATGTATTGGTAACCCTCAATGCACAGGGAAATTACCAACGCACGTTCTTTTTAAGAACAATATAGACAGGTAGATAGATAGATAGATAGATAGACAGACAGATATCATTAAATATCATTACGTATCAGTGACTCCCCCCCCTTTGTGCTATCAGTGAACTAGCTGAGGAGGCCTCTGTCCCTTCGTCCAAGACATTGATGAACAAGTTTAAACAATACTGAGCCCAGTACTTTACCCTTGGGGACACCACTAGTGACAGGCTATAAAATGCTCCAGGGAGACCTTATTGCAGCCTTGCAGTACTTAAAGGGGACCTATGAAAATATGGAGAGTGACTCTTTACACGGGCTGGTAGATGGTGATAGGACAAGGAAGAATAGTTTTTAACTAAAAGAGGGGAACTTTAGATTAGATAGTAGGAAGTTCTTTAATGAAAGGGTGGTGAGGCTCTGGAACAGACAGCCCAGGGAAGCTGTGGATGCCAGATCCCTTGGAAGTGTTCAAGGCCAGGTTGGATGGGGTCCTGTGCAAGCTGATCCAGCTGGGTGACGTCCCTGCCGATGGGGTCAAGGTGGTAACTAGATGATCTGTAAGTTCTTTTGCAACACAAATCATTCTATTATTATATGATTCCATAATGTTCTAGGAAAGACTGGTGAAACATGCTTCTGGGAAGTTTTGAGGTGTCTGAAGAGAGGACAACATCCCTGGGATGGGCCAGATTGAACAACTTGAGGTTTTATGTGTGTGCTCAGTATATAAATCTGAAATGAGTTGTAGTAGGTAGATAGATGAAGAAATTTTTTTCAGATTGAGTATTTTATGTCCTTTCTCCACTGTTACTGCTGTGGTTTAGCTTGTCTGTAAATTTAACATCCTCGGTGGTAGCGAGTTGAAGAACAACCATTGGATGTACTGAATGAGTCATTTCCTCCTCTCTCCACCTGAAGGGCTCTGTAACATTTCTGTCTCTATTTCATTTCCAGGTTTAATCTGCACAGGCAGCATGTTGCTGCTTCTAGTCCTTCTTGCAACTTCATTTTGGTCTCGTAAGCTCTTTTTTCCTTTCCCCTCTTCTTCCTGTGTACAGTGAATACAGTCCTGATTCCAAACTCCAGGAGCTTATCCCCTCACATAATTTCTCTGCTTCCACTTCCAGGTGGAGACATGCAGTCAGCGCCAGTGCAAACCCCAGAGGTGCACCATCAGATGAAGGGCAGATCTGCCAGCATGTCATGCCGACTGATGAATGAAGACATTGTGCACTGGTACAAGCAGCTTCCTGGAGAGCCACCAAAGAGGATACTGTACTTGTCAGGACATACATCTGCTTTTGATGACAGCAATGATAGAAATAGATTTGAAGTCCAAAAGGATGCTACTCAGCCCTTATATGGTCTCACGATAAAGTCTTTAACCCCAAGGGATTCTGGCACTTACTACTGTGCATATTGGCACTACAGCACAGCATTAGGTGATCAAAGATAAGCCACACAAAAAGGTACTTTGTGCTCTGAACCACAAGCTCTGAACTCTGCAGCAGGAGAGGAAAAACAGCATCTTATGACAACTATTAAATATATAATGTTAACAATCACTATATCACTTCAGTACTCACACGCATCTGCAACATCCAGAAACTGGAGTCTTCCTGTCTCTTAAAAGTAGATATATGAAACACTGCTCTTAAAATGAAGGCTTAATTTTACTGAAAGCACTCACCTGACAGTGACCACAGCCAGTCTCTGTGTGGGAGCTATAAATCTCTTCTCTGTTAAAATGCTATCAAGCAGAGCAACGTCTCCATCCCCACAGTGCTTTCTTTTGAAAAAAAATACAGGAATATGAAAGAGGGAAAGAAGACCAGGTGATCTTGCACATCCTTCTTCATATTTTTCTTTTGTCTTCCTTTGCATTTCAGTCACTACAAATTCCTATAACAGCCCAGAAGACCTATTTTTATTGTCACAGTCCCTCACCTGATGTGTCCAAGATATAACTGAAATCCTCAGCCATGAGCTATGCCCCAGGCAAGCAGAGCCTCTCAGAGCCTTTGGGTTAAGTGTACTGAGTTTTACAAATCAGATTCTACAATCACAGACCGGTTCTAGGAAAGATGGCATTTTCCTGACAGCTGGTCAGAACACTGATATACTTTTATGTCTTCAAGTTTCTGAACTAGGTTAGAGTGCTCATGTTCAATATCCTTTGAGATATTCCTCTAATACATCTGGACCTTAAAAATGGAGCCCAAATACCTCCATGGTGATGGGTTTACAGCTCCACAGGCACTGTTTTTGCTCAACTTTCTGTGTGATTTGAGTCTATAATGTCTTGCTATAGATGTTTCTGTCCTCCTCAACTATTTGAAACACAGGTTGTACTGCATGTGACCTCAGATATTAACTTCAGTCACCTTTTGTCTTTGTATCCTTTGGATCTGAGGATTTCTCACAACCAAAGAGGTTTCTGGTGGGAGTTGAGAGCAACTTCCTGACACAGGTGACTGAGCAGCCAACAAGGAAAAGTGCTCTGCTGGACCTCCAACTCACAGACAGTGGAGAATTTGTTGAGGATGGAAAGGTCAGGGCCAGCCTTGGCTGCAGTGACCATGACCCACTGGAGATCAGACTCCTGAGGGAAGACAGCAGAGCAAAAGGCAGGACCTCAACCCTGGACTTCAGGGGAGCAGACTTTAGAGTTCTTCAGAGATCTGCTTGAAAGAGTCCCTTTGGATACAGCCCTGGAGAGAAGAGGTGTCCAGGAGAGCTGGTTGGTATTCAAGAGTCTCCTCCAAGCTCAAGAAGGGTCCATCCTGACAACTAGAAAATCAAGTAGAGTCAGTAGGACTCCCTCATGGATGAGCAAAAAGCTACTGACAGAATTTAGGCATAAAAATGAAGTGTGCATAGGCTGGTGATCCAGGGCCTGCTGTTCAACTATGCAGGGATTTCAGGAAAGAAATAGCCCAGCTTGAATTGAATTTTGCAAATGATGTAAAGGGGAACAAGAAAGAATTATACAAATACACCAAGCAGCAAAAGAAAGATGAGGGAAAGCTGCTAAGTAGGGCAGGGAAACTGGTGATAAATGACATGGGAAAGCCAAGGTACTCAGTATTTCCTTTGCCTCAGTATTCACACTTAAGAATGGCCTTCAGGAATCTCAGGCCCCTGAGACCAGACATAAAGTCTGGAGCAAGAAAGACATACTCTTTGGTGGATGAGATTACTGAGCACTTAAACTGAACACACATAAGTTTGTGGCCACTGATGGGGTGCACCCACAAGTGCTGAGCAAGCTGGCCAATGCCTCTGCAAAGACTCTCACTTGTCTTTGAAAGCTCACAACAACCAATACAGGTTCTTAAAGACCAGAAGAAAACAAATGTCACTCCTGTTTTCAAGAAAGACAAAAAGGAAGACCTGGGTAACTACAGGCAGGCTAGCCCTATCTCAATCCCTGGGAAGGTGATGGACAGGATTAGTAGAATTGATCAGGATTAGTAGCATTGATTTACAAAGGGGAAGCTATTTAGACAGCTTTAGGTAATGAAGCACTCTACAAAGTGCTTGGATTTTGGCCATTTCATCTGTGACAAGTGATTTAGTGATAATTTGAATCTGGAAAATTATTTTGTAGAACACTATTCTGGCCATTTCATGTGTCCTCTTGGCATAGACATCATTATGTTTGGTCTGTAATTATTCCTACTGGGAGACTTACTGTGTTAGAAAACTACAGCACAAAACCTAGATAGTGTCTGTAAATTAGGCATTTAATCACTGATGCAATCACTGCCATATTTCTTTACTCTTCATCTGGGATCAGGTGCCTGGGATAATTCTGCTGTGTGATCAGAAGAATATCAATGTACTGCTACTGTTTCATGCATGGCAGTTTTTTGCAACATGGGCTTGATTTCAGGTCCTCAATATACAATTGACAGTGCAGTTTTCTCTCTGATTAACTACAGTTGCCCACACAGGAGACTGTCATGGGATGCTGCTGAGATAAGCGGTCTTTTCCTCGCCCCTCCTCCCCACTTCACCTTAAAATCTGTTTCTCAGTTCTCTCTTCCTTGTCACTTTGTTGTGCTCTGCCAGTCTTTAAGTAATTTCTCCTTCTCACCTACCTCAGGGTGGCCAGACACAAAATTAAACAGGCTTTCCTGTTGGGAATAAGGGGACCCTTTCCATTGCCTCCACACAGAGGCAGGTGTCTCTCCTAGCCTGACTCTTCCTGGAACCCTGCATTCACAGGCACATTTCCAAAGCACTTAGCAATGTGTGGTTACCACCAGCTCACTGCATGTAGCCAGCTGCCAGCAGGAGGGAGGCCGAACAAATTCATTTCCTTCCTGCCTGGTGAGTTGCAGCCCGGGCCCACCAATCACAGGGGAGTCCCTCACAGCACCAGACCGCCTCATTGAGAAGTCTCTCTGCCACGGCTGTTGACAGCAGCTTCTCTCTTTTGTTTTCCAGTCTTTTTTCCAGTGAGCGTTTGCATCTCAGCTGAGCTTAGAAACTGAAATCCTGCAGCTGTGCATTTCCTCCCACAACCTAAGCCAAAGTGGAAGCAAGTCCCTGCCATGCAGCTGCCCTGGTTGCTGCAGGCTGATGGCCTCAGCTGCCTTGGTGGAGGGCACCACCTGCACAGGGGCACTCCAGGCACTTCTGTACTCTGCAGCTACGTGACTAAGGTGAAGCAGCAAAGGGTGGTTCCTAACAGGATGGGGGAATGCCTCCCACCCACTCAGACACTATGCACCTCTCTGCACCCCTCGGGTGATGGTACACACACACTGCCCACCAGGGTCACCTCCAGGCTGATACCTTCACTCCACGATACATAGCTGCTCTCACTTGCAACCTTTTCTCAGTTGCTCTGACTCGAGTTTTATAGGGCCACCATCCTTGGATTTACCAATGTTTTTCATATTTACTTGGAAAGCAGACAGGACTACAGCCTTTTAACCAATTTTAGCATGTGGCAGCCTGGAGAGGGTTTTCTGCAAAGGCACCCATCCTCTTGCACACAGAAGACCCATTGCTGAAGACCATTCTAAAGAGTCACCTCCTCCTTCCACACAACACAGTCCCTCCCCATCTGGCATCCCTTTCACTCTCTTCTCAGTCTCAACAAGAGCAGAGTGTGGCAAGCAAACATGCTACTGCTGGTAGTGCTTGTTGCCACAGCCACTTGGTCTTGTAAGTACTTCCTTCTTATTCTACCTTTCCTCACAGGCACTCATGGCTATGCTAACAGGCATCTTTCACTGAATTCCAGCTAATGACATCATTTTTCCTTTTTTCTAGATGGATTTGCACAGGAAATTCCCGTGCAGAGTCCTATATCCATCACCAAGTTCCAAAAAAGTGCACGAATGACATGTGAAATTCAAACATTAGGGGCAAATTTTGATAGTGCTGTCATACACTGGTATCTGCAGAAGGAGGGTGAAGCTCCAAAGAGGCTCTTGTTCCTTTCAGGAGGAAAACCTACCATTGAAACTGGCTTTCAAGCAAGCAGATATATGGTTGAAAGAATTTCTGGTCAGAGACGGTGTGTTCTTACAATAAAAGATGTCATTCCAACTGATGCTGCTACTTACTACTGTGCCTACTGGGATCCTCACTGTGATAGAAACTCAAAGATCATCAAGGCAAAAAAACACCTGCAACATCTGAACCACAAGGTTGTAACTGTCCCATTCCACCAGTCTTCTCACTCCATCCGATGTGAGCTGCTGAAAGGCCAAACCTTTTTCTGCTTCCCAAAGAGAGCAGCTAACCCTGCACAACTGTTCTTTTCAAAGTCTGGGGCATCATTAGGACTCCTGTCTTCAACACACATCCACTGTTTTAAGGACAAAGGAAATCATCACTGCCTTAGGACCTAGCATATAAATGCTGGACACTCTCCTGCTCCTTTGGTGCTGTTTGCACGCCATGGCAGAAGTCTGGTGGCCTTTAGGGGAGCAAACAGAGAAACATTGTTCTTCTAGTCCAGCCACTGTTCTCCCCTAGGAAAGAGAAGGCATCAAAAGCAAGACAACATGCTGAAGGAAGTACTACTTTGGTGGATGGAAATTATATACTTGCCACTGCCTATCACGTCTGAGTAAAAAGTTCCCCCTTCTATTCTTCCCTGTTGTACATGTAA